TCTGACTGGCAATGCCTCTCCCTGATAGTATTTTATATCCAGGGTGACCATGTGACTTGCTTTGGCCAACAAAATTTGAGTAGAAGGGACCTACAGCATCTCTGGAAAGAAGCTTCAAGAGCCAGCTGGTGGTTTTTGCCCCCTGTCACCTTCCACTGCCATGAGCCTGGCAATGTCCCAGATGGGGGTGGTTTGGTCAGCCCAGGTCCCAGAGTGAAGACAGAATGGATGAGAGCATAGACATCAAAATGGGCAAGTGGCATGAGTAAGAAAGAAACCTTTGCTGTTGTAAGCCATGGGGCCTTCAGGACTATTTGTTATTGCAGCATAACCTGACACTTCCTGACTGCTGCACCAACCCTCACTGGCTTTGAGAGACTTTACTCTTTTTTTGAGATGTTTCGCTCTTGTTGCCCAGGCTAGAGTGCAATGCCATGATCTCGGCTCACTGCAACCTCTGTCTCCTGGGTTCCAGTGATTCTCCTACCTCAGCCTCCTGAGTAGCTAGAATTACAGGTGTGCGCCACCGTGCCTGGCTAATTTTAAAAATATTTTTAGTAGAGATGGGGTTTCACCATGTTGGCCAGGCTGGCCTGAACCTCCTAATCTCAGGTGATCTACCCACCTACGCCTCCCAAAGTCCTGGGATTATAGAAGTGAGCCACCGCATCTGGCCCCCAGCCCTTGTTTCAACACGTCCCTCCCTTATCCTTGACATTTGGGGGCCGGTCCCAGCCTGTACGTTTCTGATTCATGTCTTCTCCCAGGTATCTGTGACAAAAGTGACCTTGGAGGGAGGCCAGTGACCCCCACTTCCCATGGGTCCCATTTCAGTGTCACTAGGAAGGGGCTGATGGTGAGCGTCACTGACAATTGGACCGACAGCTCCATTGTCAGCATAGTCTTTGCCCAGCTCTGCTCCTTCCTTCTCCCCAGCTGTCCTTTTGCCTGTCTGGAGCTCCGGCTGGAAACTTATTAAGTTCTGGAGCCAGCTCTGGATCTCAGTGTGTGTGGGCAGCCTACGGTCAGCTGTGTCTGACATTAGACACGTTGCCCAGCCCCGGTACAACACTCTCTTTTCCCTTCTGTCTTCTCCAGCTTCCCCATGAAGGCTGGACCCCAACGTGGGCTTGGAGCATTCTCGAACAGCGGATGGAGGACTCCCACAGTCTTAGCTCATCTATCGCCTCTCTGAGTGGGGTGGGGCTCCTTCCCAGGCTCTTTCCCAGGCAAAGTGGCCACTGCCCTAGTTCAGAATGCAAAGATGTCACCTTTCCCTCTCCCTTCTGGGCAGGTGTTCAAATGACCGTGCTCCCAGCTAGGAAATGATAAGTACGCATCATGGGAGAGATATCTATCATGAGCACTGTTAATTTCAGGAGTGGGCCAGGTGTGGTGGCTCACACATGTAATCCTAGCACTTTGAGAGGTCAAGGTGGGAGGATCACTGGAGGTCAGGAGTTTGAGATCAGCCTGGCCAACATAGTGAAACCCCATCTCTACTAAAAATAGAAAAAAAAAAACAACAACAAAAAAATTAGCCTGGCATGGTGGCACACATCTGTAATCCCAGCTACTTGGGCTGAGGCAAAAGAATCTCTTAAACCCGGAAGCAGAGGTTGCAGTGAGTCAAGATTGCTCCACTGCACTTCAGCCTGGACGACAGAGCAAGACTCCATCTTAAAAAAAAACCCAAAAAACAAAAAACAAAAAATTTCAGGAGTGGAAGAGGTCACCTCCTGATTGCACATGACTTCCTGGAGGAGGTGAAGAAGGTGTAGAACTGTAAAGGACAGGTGGGATTTTCACAGCGTGAGAGAAAGAGGAAGACGAGGAGGGCACTGCAGGTGTAGAAATGGCTCAGGCAATTTCTGAGCCATTGGAGCAGGGCAGAGGCTGAGGTTAGGGGGTTGAGGGGCTGGATCGGAAGAGGGTGTGGGCAGAAGAGAGGTGGGCGGAAGGGGCAGTGGCTGGGGAGGGATCTGGGATCCATCTCCCCAGGAGCCTGGTGATCTTTACTTACAACAAGGATCCATTCTCCATTTGTATCTGTGTCTCCAGCCCAGTGAAGGGAATTTTATGGTGTTTGATTCTTAAAAAACAAAAGGACTGGAAACCCCCGGAACCTCAAGCCTGGTGTGCAGCGTCTTGCCTGGCTGTGGTGCTTGATCACCCGGCTTCAGCTGTTTCCACGGAGAGTGCTCTGAAAACAACAAGAAAACTTTTTGCAAACGTGTATCTTCATGCTGGGTAAATTGGCCAAATGTATTAAGAAATCGAAGTGGAAGACCCCAAGAGTAGCCCTCCTCCCTGTTGGTCCTTCACCTGAGCTGCCACCAATGGTGTCGTTGTCTGGCTCGGAGCTCCACCTTATTTGGACGTTTTAGCTTTTCGTTTCTTTGCTCACTTCCTCAACCGGACCACACACGCCTGAGGCCAGGGCTGTATAATGTCTCCACTGGATTTGGGTGCAGCGAGCTGCGTGAACAGTGGGCTGTCTGCTTGGTGGGTATTCACGTTGCCTCTTATTTAGGGTCCCTTTAGTGACTCTGGATAAAGAGACATGAGAGGCACAGCCCCTGGCCTTGGTGAGTTCGCTGGCTGCCTTTGCAATCCTGCGCCTTGGGCCTGCTGGGAAGAGGAAGAGCTGCACTTTCTATCTGCAAAGCTTCTTCCTTTAGGGATGGTCAGACCTATTTTTCTTTTGATCTTTCTTTCTTTTTTTTTTTTTGGGTACAGATGGGTCTCACTATATTGCCCAGGCTGGTCTTGAACTGCTGGCCTCAAGTGATCCTCCTGCCTCGACCTCCCAAAGTGTTGGAATTATAGGTGTGAGCTACCGTGTGTGGTCTGACCTAATTTTATTTTATTTTATTATTTTCTTTTGAGATGGAGTCCTGCTGTGTCACCCAGACTGGAGTACAGTGGTGAGATCTTGGCTGATTGCAACCTTCGCCCCCTGGGTTCAAGCAATTCTCCTGCGTGAGCCTTCCAAGTAGCTGGGATTACAGGTGTGCACTACGACACCTGGCTAGTTTTTGTATTTTCGGTGGAGATGGGGTTTTGCCATATTGGCCAGGCTGGTCTCAAACTCCTGAACTCAAGTGATTCTCTCGCCTTGGACTCCCAAAGTGCTGGGATTATAGGTATGAGGCACCGTACCAGGCCCTGACCTAATTTTATATTCATAATTGTTTTTGAGATGGGGTTTCACTTTGTTGCCCAGGCTGGAGTGCAGTGGTTCTATTAGGGCTCATTGTATTCTTGACATGTTGGGCTCAGGTGATCCTCCCACCTCAGCCTGCCAAATAGCTGAGGCCACAGGTGCACACCACAACACTTGGCGAATCTTTGTGTATTCTTTTGTAGAGGTGGGGTCTTGCCATGTTGCCCAGGCTGGCCTGGAACATCTCGGCTCAAGAGATCCTTCGCCTTGGCCTTGCAGAGTGCTGGGATTACAGGTGTGAGCTGCTACATCCGGCCTGAGCGTCGTATTCTGTAGTGGGACGATTCCATCTTCTTTCTGGATGGAAAGAATTCAGTCTGGGTTGTTTCCACTTGCCATCAAAATTGCCATAATCTAGAGTCGATATACATCCTCATGAATGCTTCCTTGAAGGGCTTCTTGGAGGGTGAAATTATTGGGTCCTAGGGCACACATTTAAAATGTTAATAGATGCCACCAAATTACCCTTTTATTTTATTTTATTTTATTTTTAGCTTTACCCCTTTTCTTATTGCATTTTAGGTTTGGGGGTACATGTGAAGAACATGTAAGATCGTTGCATAGGTACACACATGGCAGTGTGGTTTGCTGCCTTCCTCCCCATCACCTATATCTGGCATTTCTCCCCATGTTATCCCTCCCCAACTCCCCACCTCCTGCTGTCTGTCTCCTATTTCCCCCCGACAGACCCCAAAATGTGATGCTCCCCTCCCTGGGTCCATGTGTTCCCGTTGTTCAACACCGACCTATGAGTGAGAACATGTGGTGTTTCATTTCCTGTTCTTGTGTCAGTTTGCTGAGAATGATGGTTTCCAGGTTCATCCATGTCCCTACAAAGGACGCAAACTCATCATTTTTTATGGCTGCATAGTATTCCATGGTGTCAAATTACCCTTTTAAAGCAACCCAACCCACTACACACCCACCAGCTGGATAAGAATATTTTTTAAAAAATCTCATTTTTGGGATGGAGTCTCGCTGTGTCGCCCAGGCTGGAGTGCAGTGGCATGATCTCGGCTCACTGCAACCTCTGCCTCCTGGGTTCAAGCAGTTCTCCTGCCTCAGCCTCCCGAGTAGGTGGGATTACAGGCACCTACCCCATGGCAGGCTAATTTTTGTATTTTTAGCATAGACTGGGTTTCACCATCTTGGCTAGGCTGGTCTTGAACTCCTGACCTCAAGTGATCCTCAAATTACCCTTCTAAAGCAACCCAACACACCTACACACCCACCAGCTGGGTAAGAACATTTATTCTTCACACCTTTGCCCACACTGGATAGATTCAACCTTCCTACTAGTTGCTACCTAGGAAAGGCAGTGTTCTAGGTCCAAACTAGTTTGTTTGTTTGTTTGTTTGTTTGTTTGTTTTGAGATGGAGTCTTGCTCTGTTGCCCAGGCTGGAGGGCAGTGGGGACCCAGCTCCCTCACTCCTTCCCAACCTGGGTTTTAAAACTAAGGAGAGGCTGCGGGAGGCGGCCCAGACTGCAGAGTCCAAGCCCTCGGTCAAGGGTGCCCTCCAGGTGTGTGGGGGAGGGAGGGCAGCTTCCAGGAAGCTCCATGTGGGCTCCATGCTGTGGGACTGGGCCACCAGCAGCTCTCCCTGCCTGACACCTCCCGGACTTGTCCTTTCTTTTTCCTCATGTCCCTGCTTCCCACAGCGCTGACGTCGGTCTGTCCGGATGCAGGGAGAAGGGGGGAAGAGGGGTGAGGCGGGGCGGTACAAAGGTGAGGCTGTGACTCTCAGGCTCAGCAGAACAGATAACCAGCACCTTCATTTCGTGCACACCTCGGGCCACGTCCCTGCCGCTGTCCCGGCCCTGGAGCCTGCTCTGCCCCAGCCCCCTGCCCGCTGGGCCCATGCAGCTGCTGTGTTTCCTCGGCTTCCTCTGGATGCTCAAGGCCTCCCCAGGGGCCACAGGTGAGGGGGAGAGGCGGGAGGGGCCGGAGAGAAGCTCCTGATGTGATTGATGTTCCAGGGGAGGGGACGGGCAGGTGGCTCTGAGGCCTGGGGAGGCGGGATAAGGAGGGGCTGCTTGGTGTTCTGTGTGCAGGGAGAACCCAGGCCTGGCCTGGGGGCCGGGGGCATGAGGAGGGGTTTCTCAGAGCTCCAGGTGTAGGGAAAAGCCAGGTTGGGAAGGAGCGAGGGAGCCAGGTCCCCGCTGCCACTCTCCGCCATGCATTGGGCAGGTTGCAGGGGCTGCGACCCGACCTGTATGGCAGATGCAGGGCGGAAGGTGGGGGTTACGTCTTCCCGGAGCAGTGCCCTTCCTGCCTTGACTCCTTGTCACCCGCCTCACGCCCCCAGCCCCAGCGCCCCCTCCACACTGGCCTCCCCTCCTTGATAGACTTCTGTGTCAGGGGACAGCTGTTGGCACCAGAGCTGGGGTGGGCAGCTTCTAAAGTCCACTTCACTTCCAAGGGTGCATCTGAGCTGACCCGGCGTGGGGTCCCCGGCTTCTCTCTTCCGCCCTGCGGGGACACCCCCCACTCCTCTGTGCTTCCCTTCTCTCTCCCTCCAGTGTCTCTTCTGATCCCAGATCCCAGGCTGTCCACCCTAGAGGCCCATGAGTCCCCTTCTCAGTCACCTCCAGGGCCACGTCCAGAGTCAATGACTGTAGCCTGGGGGTTCTCATACCCCTGACCTCACTTTCCTGACACCCGAGAGCTAGGCTGGGACGTGACACCCCAGCTCTCAGCCACAAGATGTGCTGTGCCTGAGGTGAGGGGCAGGAGGTCGGTACTTCCCACTTCCCATCTGCTGGGGCTGCCTGTCTTGCTTGTCCCCGACATCCCCGACAGGCAGATCTCTGATCTGAAGTCTCACCATTGTGAAATAGGTTGAAATCCACAGGCCGGGGTTCATGCTTGTAAACTAATGAATCCTATGGCCGAAACAGAATTGGTGTAGAAAAATACATCTTTTCTCTTGGACACAGAATCTTGCTCTGTCACCCAGGCTGGAGTGCAGTGGCACAATCTCAGCTCACTGCAACCTCCGCCTTTCGGGTTCCAGCGAGTCTTCTGCCTCAGCCTCCTGAGTAGCTGGGATTACAGGCGCCCGTCACCACACCTGGCTATTTTTGTATTTTTAGTAGAGGTGAGATTTCACCATCTTAGTCAGGCTGGTCTCCAACTCCTGATCTCGTGATCTGCCCGCCTCGGTCTCTGAAAGTGCTGGGATTACAGGCGTGAGCCACCGCGCCTGGCCCAAGATTATGTCTATTTTTGAGGTGAACACTCACCGCTAAGCCTTAAGGTCTCTGGAACTCACTCCTCACTACCAACGTGGCTCTTTCTGGAAGTTTCCTTCTCCATCCTGTCTCTCTGCCTCTCCGTGTGGTCCCCACTCCATGCCCTTTGGTGTCATTAGCACGTGAGCTGAGCCTCTTTTTCTCCTTGGTGTTCTCTGTGCAGGTTTGTTTCGTTTTTGAGATGGAGTCTTGCTCTGTGGCCTGGGTTGGAGTGCAGTGGTGCAATCATGGCTCCCTGCAGCCTCTGCCTCCGGGTTCAAGTAATTCTCCTGCCTCAGGAGGTGCACGCCAACACATCTGGCTTGTTAGTATTATTATTATTATTGTTTTAGTAGAGATGGGGTTTCACCATGTTGGCCAGACTGGTCTTGAACTCCTGACCTCAAGTGATCACCTGTCTCAGCCTCAGAAAGTGCTGGGATGACAGGCATGAGCCACCTGGGTGGTCTTTGTGCAGTGTTCTGTCTCCTGGTTTCTGTGATGCGCCTGCTCCCAGGAAATAGCGTGTTTTCTCTTTTTCTCTTTGAAAGCGAGAGTCACCCCAGAGAGCAGCAGGGTGTGGGGAGAAGCAGAGGTGTGAGCAGAGGCTAATGGGAGGACAGGAGGACTCCAGGCAGTGGCAGGGGGAGGAGAGAAAGGGGCAGAGGGAGGAGGGTCTCAGGTGTGTCCAGTAAAGGGAAGGGAGGGAGGGAGGCTCTGCCAAGCTCCGCTATCCCAGGACAGGAGGACTGGTCCTGACGAGGCCAAGGCCAGGTGAGGGATGAGGGTTCTCACGCCCCATTGTCCCCCTGGGAGCAGACAGGCAGGGAGCTCCAGCACCCCACAGCGCCCAGCTCCAAGCTGCCTCCCATGCAGGAGTGAGCTGTGGCATGTCCTGCCCTCTGTGATGCTGGCTGGAAAATGGGTGAGTGGGAGCTTACTTGGTGGGATGTGACAGCATGACCCACCGGTTTACCCGTGGATTCCTCTGCTCTGCCGCCAATGCAGGACCTGTATCCACGGCCACATCTATCTCTCCCGTGCCTTTCCCCACCGCGGAAGCAGCCCATGCCGCGCTCAGCAATTCTCCACACTCCAAAGGCGCGGCTGGGCGGCCACTCGGTGTCCCCCAGATCGCCTCTCCCGCTCCAGGCCACAGGGAAAATGCACGTATGACTCGCACTACCTCCCCCCATGACACACCCATCCCCGAAACATTGCTCAGTTCTCCAGTCAGTTCCAACACCTCCACCACCCCGGCCTCCAAGTTTGCCTTCAAGGTTGAAACCAGTCCACCCACTGTCTTGGTCTATGCGGCCACCACTGAGTGCGCGTATCCAACGAGCTTTATAATCACCGTCTCCCACCCCACCTCCATCTGTGTGACCACGACGCAGGTGGCCTTCACCAGCTCTTACACCCCCACTCCCGAGACACAGATGCCAGTGGCCACCGTCACCAGCACTTACCCTATTACCACTACCGAGGAAGGAACGTCAGCGGTGACCTCTTCTCCCTCTATCACCACGGCAAGGGAAACTCCCACAGTGATGGTGCCACCCTCCTCCTCTGTCTCAGCCACACACACGGCCTTCCACACTACGATCTCCTCTACAACTAGAACCACAGAAAGGACGACCCTGCCCACTGGAAGCGTCCATACGACCCTGTCCCCAACTCCCGTGTTTACGCCCCTCACAACAGCAGTGACTTCTACCACCCCCATCACTTCCTCAACCACTTCCACAAAGACAGTGACTTCCATGACAACTATGGCCTCTCAGCCCACAGCCACTAATATGTTATCAACACTCACCAGCAGCATTTTATCTTCCACACCTGTCCCGAGCACAGAAACGATCACCAGTCATACCACAAACACCACCCCTCCATCTACCTTGGTGACCACACTCCCCACTACCATCACCAGGTCTACACCTACACCTGAGATCACCCACCCTACTTTTCCCACTAGCACTGTCCCAGACTCCACGACCAAAATCACCTTTTCCACAAGTACAACAGGTATATTGTCCACCACTATTACTCTCCCACCCACCTCTTCTGTGCTCCGGACCACAGAAACAGCCACGACTCCTACAACAAACTTGTTCACCACCATCACTGAGATCACATCCCACAGTACCTCTAGCTTCACTTCTTCAATCACCAGCACTGAGACCACCTCACACAGTACTCCCAGCTTCACCTCTTCAATCACCAGCACCAAGACAACCTCACACAGTACTCCCAATGTCACCTCTTCAGTCCTCACCACCGAGACCACCTCACACAGTACTCCCAATTTCACCTCTTCAATCACCAGCACCGAGACCACCTCACACAGTACTCCCAGCTTCACTTCTTCAATCACCAGCACTGAGACCACCTCACCCAGTACTCCCAATTTCACCTCTTCAATCACCAGCACCAAGACCACCTCACACAGTACTCCCAGCTTCACTTCTTCAATTACCAGCACCGAGACAACCTCACACAGTACTCCCAATGTCACCTCTTCAGTCCTCACCACCGAGACCACCTCACACAGTACTCCCAATTTCACCTCTTCAATCACCAGCACCGAGACCACCTCACACAGTACTCCCAGCTTCACTTCTTCAATCACCAGCACTGAGACCACCTCACCCAGTACTCCCAATTTCACCTCTTCAATCACCAGCACCAAGACCACCTCACACAGTACTCCCAGCTTCACTTCTTCAATTACCAGCACCGAGACAACCTCACACAGTACTCCCAATGTCACCTCTTCAGTCCTCACCACCGAGACCACCTCACACAGTACTCCCAATTTCACCTCTTCAATCACCAGCACCGAGACCACCTCACACAGTACTCCCAGCTTCACTTCTTCAATCACCAGCACTGAGACCACCTCACCCAGTACTCCCAATTTCACCTCTTCAATCACCAGCACCAAGACCACCTCACACAGTACTCCCAGCTTCACTTCTTCAATTACCAGCACCGAGACAACCTCACACAGTACTCCCAATGTCACCTCTTCAGTCCTCACCACCGAGACCACCTCACACAGTACTCCCAATTTCACCTCTTCAATCACCAGCACCGAGACCACCTCACACAGTACTCCCAGCTTCACTTCTTCAATCACCAGCACTGAGACCACCTCACCCAGTACTCCCAATTTCACCTCTTCAATCACCAGCACCAAGACCACCTCACACAGTACTCCCAGCTTCACTTCTTCAATTACCAGCACCGAGACAACTTCACACAGTACTCCCAATGTCACCTCTTCAGTCCTCACCCTTGAGACCACCTCACACAGTACTCCCAATTTCACCTCTTCAATCACCAGCACTGAGACCACCTCACACAGTACTCCCAGCTTCACTTCTTCAATCACCAGCACTGAGACCACCTCACCCAGTACTCCCAATTTCACCTCTTCAATCACCAGCACCAAGACCACCTCACACAGTACTCCCAGCTTCACTTCTTCAATTACCAGCACCGAGACAACCTCACACAGTACTCCCAATGTCACCTCTTCAGTCCTCACCACCGAGACCACCTCACACAGTACTCCCAATTTCACCTCTTCAATCACCAGCACCGAGACCACCTCACACAGTACTCCCAGCTTCACTTCTTCAATCACCAGCACTGAGACCACCTCACCCAGTACTCCCAATTTCACCTCTTCAATCACCAGCACCAAGACCACCTCACACAGTACTCCCAGCTTCACTTCTTCAATTACCAGCACCGAGACAACCTCACACAGTACTCCCAATGTCACCTCTTCAGTCCTCACCCTTGAGACCACCTCACACAGTACTCCCAATTTCACCTCTTCAATCACCAGCACTGAGACCACCTCACACAGTACTCCCAGCTTCACTTCTTCAATCACCAGCACTGAGACCACCTCACCCAGTACTCCCAATTTCACCTCTTCAATCCCCACCACCGAGACCACCTCACACAGTACTCCCAGCTTCACTTCTTCAATCATCAGCACTGAGACAACCTCATACAGTACTCCCAGTGTCACCTCTTCAATCCCCACCACCGAGACCACCTCACACAGTACTCCCAATTTCACCTATTCAATCACCAGCACTGAGACCACCTCACACAGTACTCCCAGCTTCACTTCTTCAATCACCAGCACTGAGACCACCTCACCCAGTACTCCCAATTTCACCTCTTCAATCACCAGCACCGAGACCACCTCACAGAGCACTCCCAGCTTCACTTCTTCAATCACCAGCACTGAGACAACCTCACACAGTACTTCCAGTTTTACTTCTTCAATCCCCAACTCCAAAATCACCTCACACAGTACTCCCAGCTTCACCTCTTCAATCACCAGCACCATGACCACCTCACACAGTACTCCCAGTGTCACCTCTTCAATCCCCACCACCAAGACCACCTCATGCAGTACTCCCAATTTTACCTCTTCAATCACCAGCACTGAGACCACCTCACCCAGTACTCCCAATTTCACCTCTTCAATCCCCACCACCGAGACCACCTCACACAGTAATCCCAGCTTCACTTCTTCAATTACCAGCACTGAGACCACCTCACATAGTACTCCCAGTGTCACCTCTTCAATCCCCACTACCGAGACCACCTCACACAGTACTCTGAGCATCACCTCTTCAATCTCTACCACTGAGACCACCTCACACAGTACTCCCAGCTTCACCTCTTCAATCTTCACCACAGAGACCACCTCACACGGTACTCCCAGGTTCACCTCTTCAATCCCCACTACTGAGACCAGAGAGACCACAGAGACCACCTCACACAGTACTCCCAGCTTCACCTCTTCAATCACCAGCACCGACACGATCTCACACAGTACTCCCATATTCCCCTCTTCAATCCCCACCACTGAGACCACCTCACACAGTACTCCCAGATTCACTTCTTCAATCACCAGCACCGAGACCACCTCAGCCAGTACTCCCAGCATCACCTCTTCAATCTCCACCACTGAGACCACCTCACACAGTACTCCCAGCTTCACCTCTTCAATCTTCACCACAGAGACCACCTCACACAGTACTCCCAGGTTCACCTCTTCAATCCCCACCACTGAGACCACAGAGACCACAGAGATTGCCTCACACAGTACCCCCAGCTTCACCTCTTCACTCACCAGCACCGAGATGATCTCACACAGTACTCCCATATTCACCTCTTCAATCCCCAGCACTGAGATCACCTCACACAGTACTTCCAGCTTCATCTCTTCAATCTTCACCACAGAGACTACCTCACACAGTACTCCCAATTTCACCTCTTCAATCACCAGCACTGAGGCCACCTCACACAGTACTCCCGGCTTCACTTCTTCAATCACCAGCACTGAGACCACCTCACACAGTACTCCCAGCTTCACCTCTTCAATCTTCACCACAGAGACCACCTCACACAGTACTCCCAGGTTCATTTCTTCAATCCCCACCACTGAGACCACAGAGGCCACAAAAACCACCTCACACAGTACTCCCAGCTTCACCTCTTCAATCACTAGCACCAAGATGATCTCAGACAGTACTCCCATATTCACCTCTTTAATCCCCACCACTGAGACCACCTCACACAGTACTCCCAGCTTCACCTCTTCAATCACCAGCACTGAGACCACAGCACACAGTACTCCCAGCTTGACTTCTTCAATCACCAGCACTGAGACCACCTCACCCAGTACTCCCAATTTCACCTCTTCAATCACGAGCACTGAGACCTCACACAGTACTCCCAGCTTCACTTCTTCAATCACCAGCACCGAGACCACCTCACATAGTACTCCCAGTATCACCTCTTCAATCCCCACCACCGAGACCACATCACACACTACTCCCAGCTTCACCTCTTCAATCCCCAGCACTGAAACCACCTCACCCAGTACTCTGAATTTCACCTCTTCAATCACAAGCACTGAGACCACCTCACACAGTACTCCCAGCTTCACCTCTTCAATATTCACCACAGAGACCACCTCAAACAGCAGTCCCAGCTTCACCTCTTCAATACCCAACACTGACTTCACCTCACACAGCACTCCCATCTTCACCTCTTCAATGCCTACCACTGAAGCCACCTCACACAGTACTTCCAGCTTTACCTCTTCAATACCCAACACTGAGAGCACCACACACAGCACTCCCAGCTTCACCTCTTCAATCCAAACCACCAAGACCACCTTACACACTACTACAAGCTTCACCTCTTCAATATTCACCACCAAGACCACCTCACACAATACACCCAGCGTCACCTATTCAATCTTCTCCACTGAGACCACTTCAAACAGTACTCCCAGCTTCACTTCTTCAATCCCCACCACTAGGACCACCTCAGGCAGTACTCTCAGCTTTACCTCTTCAATCTCCACCACAGAGACCACCTCACACAGTACTACCAGCTTCACCTCTTCAATCCCCACCACACAGACCACCTCACACAGCACTCCCAGCTTCACCTCTTCAATCCCCACCATAGAGACTACCTCACACACTACTCCCAGTTTCACCTCTTCAATCTTCACCATTGTGACCACCTCACACAGTCCTCCCAGCTCTACTTCTTCAATAGCCACCACTGAGACCACCTCACACAGTACTCCCAGCTTCACCTCTTCAATCTTCACCACAGAGACAACCTCAAACAGTACTCGCAACTTCACTTCTTCAATCCTCACCACCGAGACCACCTTACTGAGTACTCCCAGCTTCACGTCTACAATCTTTACCACCGAGAACACTTTACACACTACTTCCAGCTTCACCCCATCAATAGCTGCCACCGAGACCACCTCACACTGTACTCCCAGCGTTACCTCTTCAATCCCAACCACCAAGACCACCTCACACAGTACTCCCACTTTCACCTCTTCAATTCCTACCACCGAGACAACCTCACATAGTATTCCCCGCTTCACCTCTTCAATCTTCACTACCCAGACCACATCACACAGTACTCCAAGCTTTACCTCTTCAATCCTTACCACAAAGACCACCTCACACAGTACTCCAAGCTTCACCTCTTCCATCCCCACCACTGTGACCACCTCACACAGAACTCCCAGCTCCACCTCTTCCATCCCTACCAGTGAGACCACCTCACGTAGTATTCCTAGCTTCACCTCTTCAATCCCCACCTCTGAGATCACCTCAAATACTACTCCCACCTTCACCTCTTCAATACCCACTGCCAAGATCACCTCACGCAGTACTCCCAACTTCATGTCTTCAAACCCCACCACTGAGACCACCTCATATAGTACTCCTAGCTTCACCTCTTCAATCCAAACAACCGAGACCACCCCACACAGTTCTCCCATCTTCACCTCTTTAATCCCCACAACTGAGACTGCATCACAAAGTACTCCCAGGTTCACCTCTTCAATCCCTACCACCGAGACAACCTCACACACTACTCCCGGCTTCACCTCTTCAATCTCCACCACTGAGACCACCTCACACAGTACTCCCAGCTTCACCTCGTCAGTCACCAAAACCAAGACCACTTTACACACTACATACAGCTTTACCTCTCCAACAACCACCGAGTCTACCTCACACAGTACTCCGAGCTTCACCTCTTCAATCCCCACCACTGAGACCACCTCACACAGTACTCCCAGCATCACCTCTTCAATCCCCACTACCGAGACCACCTCGGGCAGTACTCCCAGCTTCACTTCTTCAATCCCCACCTCCAAGACCACATCCCACATCACTGCCAGTTTCACCTCTTTGATCCCCACCACCTACACCACATCACACAGTACTTACAGCTTCACCTCTTCAGTCCCCATCACTGAGACCACTTCACATAGTACTCCCAGTTTCACCTCTTCAATCCCCATGACTGAGACCATGTCACACAGCATTCCCAGCTTCACCTGTTCAGTCGGCACCACAGACACCACCTCACACAGTACTCCCAGTTTCACCTCTTCAATCCCCACCACTGCAACCATCTCACACAGTATTCCCAGCTTCACCTGTTCAATCTTCACCACTGACACCACCTCACAAACTACTCCCAGCTTCACTTCTTCAGTCCCCACCACTGAGACCATCTCACACACTACTACCAGCGACACCTCTTCAATCCCCATCACTGACACCACCTCACACAGTACTAGCTTCACCTCTTCAATCTTCACTACAGAGACCACCTCACACAGCACTCCCAACTTCATCTCTTCAATCGCCACCACTGAGACAACCACCCACACTACTCCCAGTTTCACCTCTTCAATATTCACAACTGGAAGCACCTTACACACTACTTCCATATTTACCACGTCAATAGCCACCACCAAGACCAGCTCACACACTACTCCCAGCTTCACCTCTTCAATCACCACAGCCAGAACCCCTGCACACACTATACCCACCTTTACCACTTCAACAACCACCTTCGAGACCACCTCACAAAGTACTCCCAACTTCACAACATTCCCCACCACCGAAACCACCACACACAATACTCCCAGCTTCACCTCTTCAATACCCACCACCGAGACGACCTCACACAGTACTTGGAGCTTCACCTCTTTAATTCCCACCACGATGACCACCTCACACCGCACTCCCAGCTTCACCTCTTCAATATCCACCACTGAGACCACCTCACACAGTACTCCCAGCTTCATCTCTTCAATTTTCACCACAGAGACTACCTCAAACACTACTCCTAGCTTCACCTTTCCAATCTTCACCTCCCAGAGAACCTCACACAGTAGTCCCAGCTTTACCTTTTCAATCCACACCACCAGGACCACCTCACACAGTACTCTCAACTTCACTTCTTCAATTCCTACCACCGAGACCACCTCAGGCAGTACTCTCAGCTTTACCTCTTCAATCCCAACCACAGAGACCACCTTTCACACTACTTCCAGCTTCACTTCTTCAATACCAACCACCAAGACCACCTCACACAGTACTCCAACCGTCACCTCTTCAATCCCCACGACTATGACCACCTCACACAGTACTCCCAGCTTCACCTCTTCTATAGTCACCACCAAGACCAACTTACACAGTACTCCCAGTTTCACCTCCTCAATTTTCACAGCAGAAACCACATTACATACTACTTCCAGCCTCAGCTCTTCAATCCCCACCACCAAGACAACCTCACACAGCACTTCCAGCTTCACCTCTTCAAAACCCACCACAGAGACCACCCCACACACCACTCCCAGCATCACCACTCCAATCCTCACCACCAAGACAACCTTTCACACGACTTCTAGCTTCACCTCTCCAATCCCCACCACAGAGACCACCTCACACACTAGTCCTAGCTTCACCTCTTCAATCTTCACCACCGAGACAATTTCACACAGTACTCCCAGGTTCACCTTTTCAATCCCCACCACCGGGACCACGTCACACAGTACTCCCAGCTTCACTTCTTCAATCCTCACCACCGAGACCACCTCAGGCAGTACTCCCACCTTTACTTCTACAATCCCCACTGCAAAGACCACCTCTCACACTACTCCCAGCTTCACCTCTTCAATACGCACCAGCAAGACCACCTCACACAGTACTCCCAGTTTCACTTCTGCAATTCTTACCACCGAGACCACCTTACACACTACTTCCAGCTTCAGTTCTTCAATCCCCACAACCGAGACGACTTCACAAAGTACTCCCAGCTTCACCTCTTTGAAATCCACCACGGAGAACACCCCACACACTACTCCAAGTGTCAGCTGTTCAATCCCCACGACCAAGACAACCTCACACACTACTTCCAGCTTCACCTCTCCAATCCCCACCATAGAGGCCACCTCAAACACTACTCCTAGCTTCACCTCTTCAATACCCACCACCGAGAGCACCTCACTCAGTACTCCAAGTGTCTCCTCCTCATTCCCCACCACTATGACCACCTCACACAGTACTCTAAGCTTCACCTCTTCAATACCCACTACTGAGACCACCTCACAGAGTACTCCCAGTTTCACTTCTTCAATCCCCACCACCGAGACCACCTCAGGCAGTACTCCCAGCTTTACCTCTTCAATCCTCACCACAGAGGCCACCTCACACAGAACACCCAGCTTCACCTCTTCAATCCCGACCACTGAGACCACCTCACGCAGTACTCCCAGATTCACCTCTTCAAAACCCACCACAGAGACCACCCCACAAACTACTTCCAGCGTCACCTCTCCAATCCTCACCACCAAGACAACCTCACACACGACTTCTAGCTTCACCTCTCCAATCCCCACCACAGAGACCACCTCACACACTAGTCCTAGCTTCACCTCTTCAATCTTCACCAGTGAGACAATCTCACACAGTACTCCCAGGTTCACCTTTTCAATCCCCACCACCGGAACCACGTCACACAGTACTCCCAGCTTCACTTCTTCAAACCTCACCACCGAGACCACCTCAGGCAGTACTCCCACCTTTACCTCTACAATCCCTACCACAGAGACCACCTCTCACACTACTCCCAGCTTCACCTCTTCAATATCCACCACTGAGACAACCTCATACACTACTTCCAACTTCACCTCTTCAATACCCACCACCAAGACCATCTCACACAGTACTCCCAGTTTCACTTCTTCAATACCCACCACAGAGACCACCTCTAACACTACTCCTAGTTTCACCTCTTCAATACCCACCACCGAGACCACCTCACACAGTACTCCAACCGTCACCTCTTCAATCCCCACGACTATGACCACCTCACACAGTACTCCCAGCTTCACCTCTTCAAAACCCACCACAGAGACCACCCCACACACTACTCCCAGCGTCACCTCTCCAATCCTCACTACCGAGACAACATTTCACACGACTTCTAGCTTCACCTCTCCAATCCCCACCACAGAGACCACCTCACACACTAGTCCTAGCTTCACCTCTTCAATCTTCACCACTGAGACAATCTCACACAGTACTCCCAGGTTCACCTTTTCAATCCCCACCACCGGGACCACGTCACACAGTACTCCCAGCTTCACTTCTTCAATCTTCACCACCGAGACCACCTCAGGCAGTACTCCCAGCTTTACTTCTACAATCCCCACCGCAAAGACCAACTCTCACGCTACTCCCAGCTTCACCTCTTCAATACCCACCACCAAGACAACCTCACACACTACTTCCAGCTTCACCTCTTCAATACCCACCAGCAAGACCACCTCAAACAGTACTCCCAGTTTCACTACTTCAATCCCCACCACCGAGACCACCTCAGGCAGTACTCCCAGCTTTACCTCTTCAATCCCCACGACCGAGACCACAGTACACAGTACTCCCAGCTTCACCTCTTCAATAGCCACCACTGAGACCACCTCACACAGTACTACTGGCCTTACCTCTTCAATCTTCACAACCGAGACCACCTTACACACTACTTCCAGCTTCAGTTCTTCAATCCCCACAACGGAGACGATCTCACAAAGTACTCCCAGCTTCACCTCTTTGAAACCCACCACGGAGACCACCCCACACACTACTCCAAGTGTCAGCTGTTCAATCCCCACGACCAAGACAACCTCACACACTACTTCCAGCTTCACCTCTCCAATCCCCACCACAGAGGCCACCTCAAACACTACTCCTAGCTTCACCTCTTCAATACCCACCACCGAGAGCACCTCACTCAGTACTCCAAGTGTCTCCTCCTCATTCCCCACCACTATGACCACCTCACAGAGTACTCCCAGTTTCACCTCTTCAATACCCACTACCGAGACCACCTCACAGAGTACTCCCAGTTTCACTTCTTCAATCCCCACCACCGAGACCACCTCAGGCAGTATTCCCAGCTTTACCTCTTCAATCCTCACCACAGAGGCCACCTCACACAGAACACCCAGCTTCACCTCTTCAATCCCGACCACTGAGACCACCTCACACAGTACTCCCAGCTTCACCTCTTCAAAACGCACCATAGAGACCACCCCACAAACTACTCCCAGTGTCACCTCTCCAATCCTCACCACCAAGACAACCTCACACACGACTTCTAGTTTCACCTCTCCAATCCCCACCACAGAGACCCCCTCACACACTCGTCCTAGCTTTACTTCTTCAATCTTCACCACCGAGACAATCTCACACAGTACTCCCAGGTTCACCTTTTCAATCCCCACCACCGGAACCACGTCACACAGTACTCCCAGCTTCACTTCTTCAAACTTCACCACCGAGACCACCTCAGGCAGTACTCCCACCTTTACCTCTACAATCCCTACCACAGAGACCACCTCTCACACTACTCCCAGCTTCACCTCTTCAATATCCACCACTGAGACAACCTCATACACTACTTCCAACTTCACCTCTTCAATACCCACCACCAAGACTATCTCACACAGTACTCCCAGTTTCACTTCTTCAATACCCACCACAGAGACCACCTCTAACACTACTCCTAGTTTCACCTCTTCAATACCCACCACCGAGACCACCTCACACAGTACTCCAACCGTCACCTCTTCAATCCCCACGACTATGACCACCTCACACAGTACTCCCAGCTTCACCTCTTCAAAACCCACCACAGAGACCACCCCACACACTACTCCTAGCGTCACCTCTCCAATCCTCACCACCGAGACAACCTTTCACACGACTTCTAGCTTCACCTCTCCAATCCCCACCACAGAGACCACCTCACACACTAGTCCTAGCTTCACCTCTTCAATCTTCACCACTGAGACAATTTCACACAGTACTCCCAGGTTCACCATTTCAATCCCCACCACCGGGACCACGTCACACAGTACTCCCAGCTTCACTTCTTCAATCCTCACCACCGAGACCACCTCAGGCAGTACTCCCAGCTTTACTTCTACAATCCCCACCGCAAAGACCACCTCTCACGCTACTCCCAGCTTCACCTCTTCAATACCCACCACCAAGACAACCTCACACACTACTTCCAGCTTCACCTCTTCAATACCCACCAGCAAGACCACCTCACACAGTACTCCCAGTTTCACTCCTTCAATCCCCACCACCGAGACCTCCTCAGGCAGTACTCCCAGCTTTACCTCTTCAATCCCCACGACCGAGACCACAGTACACAGTACTCCCAGCTTTACTTCTTCAATAGCCACCACTGAGACCACCTCACACAGTACTACCGGCCTTACCTCTTCAATCTTCACAACCGAGACCACCTTACACACTACTTCCAGCTTCAGTTCTTCAATCCCCACAACCGAGACGATCTCACAAAGTACTCCCAGCTTCACCTCTTTGAAATCTACCACGGAGACCACCCCACACACTACTCCAAGTGTCAGCTGTTCAATCCCCACGACCAAGACAACCTCACACACTACTTCCAGCTTCACCTCTCCAATCCCCACCATAGAGGCCACCTCAAACACTACTCCTAGCTTCACCTCTTCAATACCCACCACCGAGAGCACCTCACTCAGTACTCCAAGTGTCTCCTCCTCATTCCCCACCACTATGACCACCTCACACAGTACTCTAAGCTTCACCTCTTCAATACCCACTACTGAGACCACCTCACAGAGTACTCCCAGTTTCACTTCTTCAATCCCCATCACCAAGACCACCTCAGGCAGTACTTCCAGCTTTACCTCTTCAATCCTCACCACAGAGACCACCTCACACAGTACACTCAGCTTCACCTCTTCAATCCCGACCACTGAGACCACCTCACACAGTACTCCTAGCTTCACTTCCTCAATCCCGACCACTGAGACCACCTCACACAGTACTCCCAGCTTCACCTCTTCAACAGTCACTACCCAGACCACCTCACACAGTACTCCCAGCTTCACCTCTTCAATACCCACCACCAAGATCACATCACACAGCACTCTCAGCTTCACCTCTTCAATACTCACCACCGAGGCCACCTCACAGAGTACTCCCAGCTTCACTTCCTCAATCTCGACCACTAAGACTACCTCATACAGTACTCCCAGCTTCACTTCTTCAATAGCCACCACCAAGGCCACCTCACAGAGTACTCCGAGCCTCACCTCTTCAATATCTACCACTGAGACCACCTCACAGAGTACTCCCAGCTTCACTTCTTTAATTCCCACCACTGAGACCACCTTTCATGGTACTTCCGGCTTCACCTCTTCAATCCCCACCACCAAGACCACCTCACGCACTACTTTCAACTTCACTTCTTCAATCCGCACCACAGAGACCACCTCTCACACTACTCCCAGCTTCACCTTCTCAATACCCACCATAGAGAC